TCAGTACTCAGTTAATTACCCGTGATTGGGGTTTTTTACCGCTCCTCTTTTCCACGGACTGGCTGATCTTTGAATATTATAAAATTAATAAAATCAATAAATGACAAATTTCAGCCAATTAGTGGAGCAACAGAACCCAAACCACTTGCAGGACTCTCACTACTCAGCTAATTACCCGTGATTGAGGCTCTTGACTGCTCCTCTTTTTCACAATTTGGCTGATCTTTGAAGATATTAAAATTAATAAAATCAATAAATAACCATTTTCAGCCAATTAGTGGAGCAACAGAACCCAGCCCAGTCGCAGGGCTCTCACTACTCATCTAATTACCCGTGATTGGGGCTCTTGACTGCTCTCCTTTTTCACGACCTCATTCTCTCTCTGCGTACTCTGTCACACTCTTCCTCTGTCTGGGCACTCTCTCTCATTCTCGCTCTGTCTGCGTACTCTCTCTCACTCTCTCTCGTGGATGTTGGTCTGCCCCTCTCTCATATTATTTTCCTCTCGACTCACTTTTTGCCCACTCATCGCTGCTCCTGAGAGTTGGTTGACCGCACCCAACATACTTGCAAGGACGGGCATGCAGTCATGGCTGTGGTCTGCTTGGTCTCGCGAAGCGGCACGGAACAACTCTAGCTCACCCTGGTCACTTCCCTCCAGCGCACCCTGGTCCTCCTGGTCGCCTCAGTTCCAATGCCCCTTGAAGTCTTGGTTCAACCTGTATATGGTGTCGCTCCTAGTGTCAGCAAACGCATGTCTTGGTCAGGGCAGTCCTTAGCAACACAGAAATGTGCGCAGTGCCCATGGTACCAACCCACACATTCAACACCTGAATCTAGACCTAGTACCGGTAACGTGGCCCGGCAGCAGTACCTGACCGTTATTGTGCCTCCAATAAGCCATGCCGGAGGAGAAAATGACCCTAGGATGACCGCTTGCGTCCAAAATAGGACCAGCGTCTTTACTAGGTCAGTTACCAATGCATTTCAAACCTTCGAACCCCATATAAAAATCAGAGAGTAACCATACCAGGGGTGTAGTAGCACAAACGTCGGCGAGGTCAAAAGGTAAGTCGATGTCGAGCAATGTCATGGAACCGAAGTCACTCATGATGTCGAACAATCGAAGCCGTAAATAGAGTACCCCTCCAATAGATCCAACATAACCCAAACAATTATCGAGTCGCTGTACTCTAGTCAAAACCTCTAAATAATAATTTTTCCTCACCATCACTCAACAAACCCCTCCAAATAGTCTTCCCGCGCGGCACCCGAAAGTCTCATAAATGCAAGTATGCGCGGGGTCGCTCACATGCGAAAATAGGGATCGAAGAGGGGCTCATAAAATAGGACGGATCAGGTAATAACAACGGGAAACATAATTAGGCACAAAAATGAAGAAAGAAAATTGTGAGGATTACGTTCTTTTAATTGTTTTTTAGTTTACTTTCGATTTTTAATACCGCAGCTAAAATTAATAAAATTTGGATATCGACTTTGTCACAAAAAAACGCCCACACGGAACGCCACATGCGCGTTTGTAATTGAGCGTCAGAAAAAAATAAAAATAAAGGCAAAATAGACTCCCATAATCGGTGTTCAAAATAAGATAAAATAGTAGGGAAATATATAATAGAAGGGGTCGTGGTAGTGAGTGGAGAAACAAACAACAGCGGTCGACCCGGATAGCCCGTTTATCCGTCACCTGCATGATAAAAAAAATTAAAAAATTGGCATAGTCGACAAACGTAGACTCCTAAAACCCTCATTTTGGGTGGCTGACTGATCGGTGGCCGCCTGACAGTTAGCCCGAACCTCTTCGCGACGTCCCCGTCAATGCCTCACCTATCTGCCGAAAGAGTACGTCACTCACTCGAAGGGGGCTTCTCCTCTCTCAAAATTGCAATTGTTGACCGGAGAAGGACGTTCTCCGAGATTAAAGGACAGTTCGCCGCATCATCCACTACTGTCCGAGGAACCATCTCATCGTTATACATAGTCCCCACTATACCTCTCCCTGAAACGTAAAATATGTCATGAGGCACGTTCTCCCAGACATAAAAAAAAATTGGCGAGGTGCAGTCCGCTCTAGCACTTGAAGTCGTGACTTATGTGCGAATGAAACGACGTTGGTAAAATACTTGTCTACTAACGACCTAGAATCAACAAATATCTCATCGGGCAAACGCACCGATTTCCCTCGTTCGGGATCGATAAGAATCGTGTCTGTAATAGACACTTTTACGACACTGGTGATATATAGGGGCACATCTCGTATTCGCTTGGACGCTTCCCGTATGGAACATCGATACTCTGACTAAGCGCTAGCCTCAAGGGCGTTGTTGTATTAGTAACTCCCTCTGGGCCTCGTTTTCGTGATGATATTACTCTTCGTTCGTTTTTCTCTTCCTCTCGATCCACGATAACTATACCTGGGTTAACTCTCTTATTTGAAGAAAGAGCCCACAATGATTTGGTAGAGGTGACGTGGATGGACACTGTAAGCGTCTTGTCTTCTGACCGTAAGAAAATCCCGACACTCTGACTTTTTACCGTCATTTTTACCTCATCCAACGACGCTTGTCTGACCTCCAAGTCCTCCTCCTTCGAGGAAACATGTATGCATCCCTCAGATTGTTGGTTCTCTTGACGTATTGTCGGTCCCCAAGTCCCACTACGCCATAGTTTATTGTCTTCTTAAGATCGGGGCAATCTTTCCCGATATGATCATCCGAACAACAATAAACGCATGTCTTACGAGGAGAAGAAGGTTCATCTTGTACATGTCTATATCTTTCATGTCCGCCTGATGCCCGAGCATTTTGAAGACCCGAACCAAGCTCACGTAGTCCTCTAGTATCATCACGATGACCCCGATCAACATCTCTCCTCTCGTGTCGCTCGTAGGAATGGTCGCATCGTTCCCTCTCTGTCACATGGTGATACCTATTTAGAATATTAGGATACTCTCCTGCATGACGGAGGTCTTAGGGACCTCGATCATATCTTGGGCTGTGAGGGTAGATCTCCACCCGACCGCGTCGTTGATACCCGTTGTCCCTATCTCTCGTATAGTCTCTAGGATAGGCAACCTGTCGATCTCGATCTTCGTCCTTGTACCTAGAGGGATGGTCGCGACGTATATGGTCATGGGTCTCGATTATCCCACATCAACGAGTACGCTCAACCAGTCCTAACCCGATCGTGCCTCAGCGAGTTCGACGGACCGTTCCTCACCTGATAACCGACAGTCCCTGTCTTCGCCTCTATCCTGGCGACCTGTCGAACCAAGCCCTTGATCATCTCTCTCAAGTTCGAATCGTCTGTGATGTTTGTTCGCCGCTCTCTAGGTTCATCAAAGGGGTATCGGTGGTCTTCCCAAGGCCTATCATCAAAATTTGGGCACCTCTCTACACATGCACGACAAGAAGGTGACCGTAGACCCTCCCTGTGGCGCAATGCAGTCCAGACCAGGTCCTTATACTCATCAGTGTCGGCCCTTATAGCCAGTGTAAGGACCTTCGAAAATTCGATACGGTCGTGTGAAAGATCTCGCAGAATTCCTTTCTGCTTTCCCTTCGATACTTGAGTGATGAAAATTGTGCATCTGTCAACCTCTGATAACTTCTCCTTTGCCACAAAAACATCCGACATTCTTAAACCTCCTCCCAAACACTAGAACACTCTCATCCAATTCTTGTCTCAACTTCTCCACGTCTTTGACAGAGTACATAATATCCTCGTGCTTGAAGAATTGATACAAATTTTCCCTGTAAATCTTCCAGCGTCGGTCTTTTGACCTTGCACTTTTTATCTCCTTGCCTAAGCTCAGCTCATAGTTGAAGAGGAAGTTGTTGATAATCTCATCCTCTGTCCACCGACTATAATATGCATGCCGCTCCCACTTCTCCAAGTAATATGAAATCCCATATCCTCTGCAGATGGGATGTCTGATATCAAGCTGACGACTTTGATGTGATATAATATATATGTTCCGCCTCTCATAGGGAAAAATATAAGTCTCCCAGTCTCTGGATCGAAAAAGCATCGAGGCGGACTGTTATATCGGTCTGTGTCTTTATCGTTTTTATTTTCTCTCTCGTACCGATCTCGCCAATCATCTCTGCAACGATTATCTCTGATCTCCTTACACCTTTGATTATGCGATCTCAGACGGTACTACCCACCTCGGTCTATCGTGATTGGCTCCATCCTACTCTCCTCTCGCATAGTAGTCAATGACTGGGTCGGGCTAATAGCCTGCAATATATCAATCACTTCCGGCTTCCCATCGTCGTTCAAACTCTCACATGCTAGTGGAGCCTGTCTAAAGCGTCCCTTAAGCTCGCGAAGAGTTCGACCAGGTGACGGGTGATACTCTCCCGTATCCACCTGAACTTCCATGTTGTCGAACTCCATGCCTGGCGCACCAAGTCTGGAAAGAAATGGGCCCCGTTGCACCGAGTCTGGCATAGGGCGACAGAATTGGCCCCTTCGCACCAAGTCTGGAAAGAAATGGGCCCCGTTGCACCGAGTCTGGCATAGGGCGAAAGAATTGGCCCCTTTGCAGCCAGTCTGGGGTAGAGAGTTGGAACGGCTGTACAGGAGGGACCATACTCGAATTCCGCCGAATAGAAGGCACGATCATGACCCCATGCGTGGCTTGGCTGCCCTTAGCGGATTAGCCACCGTGCCCAGCGTCCCCCGAGTAGAACGCCATTTCTCACCCCTCGAACCGAATAGAATGTAGGGTCGCTGTCCCCAATACGAGTGTATGACCCGGCGTTCTATTCGGCGGACGACGGTGGCGGCGGGTACCCCCCTTACCGGACTTACCGGATGAGCTACCCTATCGGGGTCGGCCAACCGTAGTGGCAGAAAGTGATTTCTTTCTCAAGCTCCTTCCCGTGCTTCTCTTTTCTCCCCTCTTGTCCGTTTTTGTGGCTCGTTGGCGGCCGAGAGTCGGTACCAGGCGGCGCAGGCACGGAATATCCCTGCTCGTGTGGGCAAGGAGCACAGACTCGATGCTGTGATTGTGTGCGTGATGTGCAACGAGACGCACACGAGTTTGTGCTGTGATCGTGTGCGTGATGTGCAGCGAGACGCACACGCGCAAACACGTGCAGCCACCTGGCGCTGCAGTGCGTAGCGTCGAGGGCAACCGGGGGGAGAGAGAGAGAGAGAGAGAGAGAGAGAGAGAGAGAGAGAGAGAGAGGATATGCGAGCCAGTAGTGGCATACTCTGACTCAAGGTATGTCGCGACCTTTTCCCTTTTATTCGTTTTTTTTTTTTGTGTAGTTGGTCGTTTGTATGGACGTTGGAGCGAAGAGTGTTGACAGGGTCGTGGTTAAGCTCCACGCTCTCGTCGGGGAGTAGGGAGAGAGTGGTAGTGGGGCATCGCAATAGGCTTGATACGCACATTGGGGGGACAAGGAGAGAGGCTTGAGACGCACGTTTGGGGGAAAGTGCAGTGTATCGATGTTTATAGGGTTACAGAAGGGCTGGAGCTCTGTTGTCGGAAAAGAAAAAGATAAAAGAAAAAGATAAAAGAAAAAGATAGAAGAAAAGGATCAGACGAGAGCTGTACAACCACGTCGGAGAGGAGATGAAGAGTCGATGGCGGTCACAAGAAGAAGCTTTAGTCTACGTAGGAGGAGAGGGCAGAGAAGGGGAGGGGAGGCGAGGAGGGAGAGGAGGGTAGTGGAATTGGCTATGTGGTCTACAGCAAGTCTTACACATTAGCTATGCTACCTCCTTCTCCCGAATGCAACGTACGGTCATTATAGCTGTATTTGGGTTATCTTTCAGTCCAAATACAGCTATAATGACCGTACGTTGTTTTCGGGGGAAGAAAGGGTAGGGTGGACGGGGTAGCCAGATGGGGTTACGCAAGACGAGTTCTTCGAATAGGGGAGAGGGGGGGGTGGATGGAGGAAAAAGGGGGTCACTTTCGGCGGGAGGAGAAAACGGGTGCAGTGAATGTGAATGGAAATCGCGAGAAGCTCGTCTCGCACGTTGGAGGAGAGAGGGAGGAGGATAATGGTATTGACAGAATAGTATATGCACGTAATAATTACGTAATAAACTTGAATAAAGTCCCGGTGATAAATATTTTAAATTAACGGTAGTACAGGAGTAATGTAAATAAATGTACATAAAATTATGATAATAAATAGACAATAGAATAGTGTAACATGAATAATACGAAGCTTTTGAGGCGCGTTCGAGGAGAGAGGGAGGCTAATAAGAGAGTATCGAGGCGACGGATATACATAATGGTAAATAAAATTAGTTGTAATGTTAAAAAAATAATAAATCATTAAGTTTGCTATCAACAGTAATAAATATAAAAAATGGTAATAAATTTACTAATAAGTAGTAGTGGTAGTAGTAGTAGTAGTAGTAGTAGTAGTAGTAGTAGTAGTAATAATAAACAGAAGAAGAAGAAGAAGAAGAAGAAGAAGAAACAGAACAAGAAGCTGCAGCAGCAGAAGTATGCAATGTCGTTCTATGTTGATTGCCGCAAAGAAACGAAAAAACATTCCGCGAACTATCAACGAGCGATCATAGTTAAATCTGCTAACCACCCACCCACTTACGACCCCACCCACCCACCCACCCAATCAATTGTCAGCTAACCAACCAACCAACCAGCCAACCAACCAACCAACCAACCAACCAACCAACCAACCAACCAATCTCTCAAATAATCCATCAATCGTTTAGCGTTAGGTGTGAGAAGCCGGGCATGAAGGTGTGAGGGGGAAGAGAGAGGGAGAGAGGGGACGCACCGTGTACTATGTTCTACTTTTTCTTTTTCTTTTCCTTCGCTCCTTTTGTCATCGTCCTCGTCCGCTGCCGACAAAAATCTTCCCCAGCTCGAATCCCTTCACTTCATTTCCTTGTCTGATTTTATTTATTTATTCTTTTTCTTGATTTCGCTTTCGTGCTTGCCACGTGGCGCTTACCGATTACTTTGTGGGGTCAGTGTGTGTATTCCATTTGCTTTCTTTATTGCCTGTCCTGCTTTTTCCTACTCCTACGAGTTGCAGATCAAATTCGCTGCCACGTGGCGCTCTCCCTGTTCTTAGTTTTCGTCGCCGTCCTCCTTCTCAACCCGGTCCCTCCGCAATTACATTCCCTCTTCTTTTATATTCTTCCCACGAGCGTCTATTTGAATGCGCTGAAAAGTGGCGCTCCCCCCCCCCTTCCTTTTCTTCCTTCTATGTGCATTTTGTGTGTGTGTGTTTGTGTGTTTGTGTGTGTGTGTGTGTGTGTGTGTGTGTGTGTGAGAGAGAGAGAGAGAGAGAGAGAGAGAGAGAGAGAGAGAGAGAGAGAGAGAGAGAGAGAGAGAGGGTTGTTGGCCGCTTCCTTCGAAGGTACCGTTCATTCGAAACCCGCGTTCACCGAGCGCACATTCCCCTCAGACAAACGGAGCGCGCGTGTATGTTGATGGATATATGAATACATACGTGGTATATGTAGGAGATAGATAGTAGATAGGTAGCTGGTTGTAGATGATAAATGAGCAAATAGATATACTACGTGGTTGCGTGTTTTCAAGCACAAGTACACGGCCCCAGCCTTGCAGTCCGAGACTTGTCGCCACAAGGAAACGAGGCCGAAACGTCAAAAGCTGGGCCCGCCGTTGATAAATTAGATCGGTGGCCCCGTTTTCGTTTCGCGCCTCCAGAATTTGAGGTGTCAGACCCGCGGCCCAGGTGCCCATGTACTTGTGGTTTCAACCATTTATTTTACAATTTTGAAATCTACTATTCATCATCCTTGGCTGTAGTTATTGACACTGAAATAATGCTTCCTGTTGTGTATGTGCACGGCTGATAGTGCTTTCTTTCGGATAACGTTTCTCATTAATTTAATTTATTTACCGTGTTCGGATAATTTTTCTCATTATTTCAATTTGTTTATTGATCCTCACGTTGCGTGCTTCGCCCAATGATTAACAAGAGTCACATCCCACTCTTCGAGTTCCGTGTGTTCCCTTTTCTCATGTAATTTTGTGTTTAGTCTCCATAACGTCATGTGAGAAATAAATACCCATCCCTGATTCTATCTAGTCTTCTTATTGTTTTATCTTGACGGATGATCTGATATTTCGTTTACGCTTTCTTCGCTTGTTGAGTGTTCATCTGATTTCTTAGTTTTTGAAGCTCTATATCCCCCCCGCCCCCCCTTCCTCTCCGCCGCCCTTCTCCACCGCCCTTCTCCGCCGCCCTTCTCCGCCGCGTTTACCCCCTATCCGCTTCTACCTCACCCCCCAACGCACTAAGCAACGCTCCACTTAGACCACCAGTACTTGGCCCAGCTATCCGCCGCCCAAAAAAAAATGTAGAAACGTTTCTAGTCGGATGAATTTGCGCGCTCCTGTAGTGGCCCGTGCGTTTCCTAAAATCGTGGCTTGTTAACGGCCACCACTTCAGGAAGTACTGGTGGTTTAACCCACTACCCAACACGCAATAGTCTGACTCAGTCTGGCACAGTAGTGCTTTTTTTTTTTCCTGTGGGGTTGCGTATACGGGGAACCTGACAACGCGTGAAACGTGAAGGGAAAGAGGAATTTTTAAAAGTCGTGAAGGATGAGAAGTACGATTTCTTTTTCTTTCAATGACGGTATTTTAATGCTGTGGCTGTCGCTTCTTATGTTCGTATGGATTGGAGCAGGCAGTTTTTTTTTTTTAATGGGGGAGCTGATGGGTGTCTTCAGAGAGCAGCATTAGAAAAAAAGGCGCAGTGGGTGGTTTTGGATAGGGTTATTAAGAAAAAGCAAATACAGGATAAAAAAGTAATGAAAAACCAAAGCGAGAGATAAGTGAACTGCAAAACCCCTCGTTAGTAGATCAATTTTTTTGTCAAATAAATGAATAGAAAGATGAAGAAAAATTGACAAAGAGTGAAACAACGGTTTGTTTGTCAAATAAATAAATTGAAAGACTATAAAAAAGACGGGAGAATGAAATATATAAATGTGTAGGAAGTCTTCGGTGCGCAGTCGTTAATTGCCGCGAACTACGAAATCTTGAAAGTAAGGGGGGTAAAAAGGATCAAGGAGGTTTGTAAGTAAAGGAATTGTGTTTGTTAGAGAGATTCCTCTCCCCCCCCCCCCCTCTTTAAAACTAAATAGGTAGGGAAACCCACGAATATTGAGTACAGGAAATTGCCCGTATGCTGTTGTTTTCGTTTTTAGTTTCAGTTAATGTTTGTTTTAAATTACTGAACAACATATAAAACCTTTTTGTTTCTCGTATGATTCTACTCCGTCTATCGCATATGAACATCTTGCGTTAGTTAAATAACTTTTTGTTAAATTCCCACGGCCCTTTTTCAAGGGAGCTCTTCTACTTCCTTCCCGCTGCCCTCTTCTCGTCTTCTCCACTCTTACCGCCTTCTTGTTGACTTCGCGGTCAGTTGGTTGTGACATTTTTTTTACTTTTTTTTTGGGTTCAAAGAGGAGTTTTACAACGAAAAAAGGTAGCATTTTTTTTAATCCTTTAAAAGTATTTTTATCCTCCATTTTAAAGGAAATGGAAGGTATTCTTTTAGAAATAGAGTTCTCAGTTTTCGGGAATACTTTTGTCTTCTTCCTTTAGAATATGGAGTCTGGAGTTTCTTAGAAAAGAGGAAATCGGGGCTTTATTCTTCCCATCCCCCGAAAAGGAAATACAGCCTTTGTAGTCAGGGAAGCTCGTTGTTTCGACACATGGACGAGAAATTGTTTTGTCGGTTAGGTTGTAGTTTTCTAAGAAACAGGAAAAACAAAAAAAAGGCAAACGTGGTAGTCAAGGGAGCTCGTCCTTTCGACGGTTCTGATGAATTGCCATGTCGCTTTCCTCTCAATCTCGTCTAATGAGAGATCTTTCGATATATACCTCTCTGCCACCCAGGATTATTCCTTGAGCCGAAAAATGAAAAAAAAAAAATTGAAATTTGGAAAAGATAGAAAAAAAGCCGGCACTGTAAAATGAAAACTCGGATCGGTCTCATCAAATAGGCAGTGCCACCAAGGGAAGTGGAGTTAAAATATAATAAAATCAACGGAGGTCGAGTTATGTTGCGGAAGCTCAGGGATTTTATACTCTGACCTGAAATTCAGATACATGCACGAAAGTCTGAGTGTTGAGTATGCCCTACGAGAAAGATCATCGCATTTCCTTTTTCCACTTTTTTTTGTCTTTTTCAGCTTCCGACTTTCACTGATATCACGATTTTTTTCCTGGCTTCCCATTTTCATTGATTTCACGAACATCGCGGTGTTCTCTCCCCCCCTCACCTCCCCCCTTTCTTCTTCCCGCCTTGTGGCTGTATAGCACACACGCGTAACTGTTATCTGTTAATAAACAGGTCTTGAGTTCGACTCGCCGACTACTGCCGTCCGTTCAGGACTCGGCAGTGAATTTCGTGGGGAAGGAGGGGGCGCGGGGAGATCGATGGTTTTTCTTTTCCCTTTCCCCAACCAATTCGAATTAACGAAATGAGGAATGGGGGGCAAAAAATTCGCGTTGGGACTAGGGAGAGAATGTGGTGGCGTCGTGGCAACAACCCGTTTACCACGTGGAAGTAATCAGTGAGAGGAGCCCGATATGACGCTGGGTTCGATTCCAGATGAAACCAGATGAGTAAGAATGATTCTGAATTTACCTGGAGCCGGTCAATTCGAAGGTGAAAGATTACAGATCGGTTGTCTGGTCAGCGGTGATCTTACCCAATGCGATCATATCTGTCTCCCATGACCTGACTGGGTTCGATCTGAATCCTATTGATCGCCCGGTGCCTGATTGTGTTGTATCTGATCTGCTCTGCAGTAGAAGAATGATCTAGACTGCAGTGGCTGCAGTCTATTGGGGAACAGCGAAAGAAACTGCGCAAGGATGTTCCACACTTCGGTTACCAGCCCAAAATCCTTCGCAAACTCATTGTATAATACAAACGCGGGAAGGTTCCACCTTGCACTGAATTGTCGGGCACCCATGTCTTCGTATCGGATCTCTTGGCTGCAGGAAAGCTCTGCTGTCCACAGACTCATTTGTGCTTTGATTCCGTTGATATCAGGTTGTCGAGACTGAAAGGGCATTTATGTCTTTGGATCTGATCTTTTCTGCTTCTCTAGCTTCTGCTCAAGCGATCACCACAATGTCTCTTACCCACCCATCCGCCCTCATTAACACCATCTTGCCTGCTAATCACATTGGCGCGAGGTGGTTGTAGGAGCAGGGGAAGAAGGTTAAAGTGCCGTACTCGTGACGTTTCTTCTGTTTTCTGAGTCAAGTGCATGCTTTCTTCAAGTTCTTCTAGTTGTGCACAGGAGAAAGGGAAAATCTGGGTCTTCTTTTTTATATTATTTGTTTACACATGGGGATCTCTATAGTATTGACGACTTTGATGTGGCGACGATCGACCGGGTAGCAAACCGTAATCAGTATGAAAACTGAGGACGAAGATTGTGTGGCAGGGGAGTACTGGGCCCCTTGCCGTAGTATTATTTTTAGTTCATGTGCAAAGGAAGGCAAGGTAGAGCTTCAGGGCACAGAAGAAATGTATTGTACGCCTCATCACTCTTGCACAGTTCGCTCGTGGAGCAACACAAGTAGTAAATAGGTTGGAACCTGTGGTGTTAGCCAGGATATGAGTAGGATGTAATACTAGTAAAGTATGATGTAAATAGGTTCTAAATGAAATGCAACAGGAAATGTGGCCGTAAATCGGGTGTAACCAGTGGTGTAAATAGGTTGTAATGCAACAGGAAATGTGACAGTAGATGGGGTGTAGCCAGTGGTGTAAACCAGGGTGTAATAGTAGTGAACAAGGGTGCAAATTGGGGTGTAGTAGTAGCAAGGTTGTAAATAGTGTGTACATGAAAGGCGTCAGTGGGTATCGCTTGTGTTTCCCAGCTTATGGATGGGAAGAGCATGTGCACTAGCCTATTAGTTGCTTGCTTGACGTAATCGGTATGCTGGCAAATACTATACGCGGTTCATCTCTCTGGGCTTTTGGTTAGTCAAAGTGACAACCGGTGCCGTGCTGGGTTCACTTACAATATCGTTTTTAGTTGGTAAGGAAGAGGAAATTACTGCTCATTGTTCTCACGGTCCAGTGTCCGATTCTTCCCTTCTGGACAGTAGTTAGGGTAGGAAGGAATTAGTTGGAATTCTGTCGTGTTATCTTCCCTGCACAATATCGTCAGTAACTGGTAAGAAAGAGGAAGTTTCTGCTTATTGTTATCGACAGTTCACTGTTCGGTTGTTCCCTGCTGGACACTGGGCATGGTAGGAAGGAATTAGTTGGCCGTGCGTTCTGTGGCTGTACAGTTGTCAAGGACACAGAATGGCAAGGCATAGGAGGAAGGAATGATCTGGGAGGTTTACAAACTACTGAAGTAATGGCTGTTGGTTGATGCTGTGTAGAAGAACCAATGGTTTGGGTAGGGGTGGCGTCTTTGTCAATCACACAGAAAAGTTGCTGTAGTAGGAAGGAATGGATGGTCCGAGAGGTTCGCCATTGTCCGATGTGGCCACAAACTGCTGACGAAATAGGGTGCTGGTTGACGCTATGTGAAAACAGCATCGCCAGCCACTGTGGGTTGTTGTAGAGGGTATACCGAAGTGATTAAGGGCAGGATGAAGGAATGGGTAGGGTTTTTTGCCAAGGTCTCATGTGCCGGCAGTGCATTGGAAGGAATAGGCATCTGATTGATGCTATGTGAAAGCACCATGCCAAGCTTTATCGGTTCTGATAGGGGTTGCACAGGTTTTAAAGAGTGAATACAGGCAGGAAGCTCTGGAACTGTAGTGGTGGATTTATGTTCAGTTATAGTTGCCAATTGTAGAGGTTTTCAGCTTCTGTTGTAGCTGTGTAGGTGAGGAATGAAGGGCATTGGCAAGCTTTATGTGGGTTCTAATAGGGGTTGCACATGTTTTAAGAGTGAATACAGGAAGGATGCACCGTAATTGTGGGGTTGTGTTTATGTCAGTTACAGTTACAAATGGTAGAGGTTTTTGGATTCTGTTGTAGCTGTGTAGGTGAGGAATGAAGCACAATTCCTCCATGGACAAGTGTTATGCAAAGCTCTATGATGCTGCAGTCATGGCAGCGTGGACTCCTGGATTCTGTAATTGCTTATATATCTATTGATCCAGCATGAACGATTGCTGCGATGCACGATAAGTCATGTCGAGCAGTGCTTTAGGTTTTCATATCTAGCAATAGCAATCTTGGAAAGGACCCTCTTACGGAAAGGCCAGGTCAGGGACAATCATTTGGAACTGGTAAGAAAAGGAAATAAGCTCAGCAGCCTCAATGGGTGTTTCTCCTGCTCTCATCGTTGCACGTACACAATCCATATAGCCCGAAGTGGGATTTCGTCAGTTTGTTTTTTGGGTGTAATTGTTGGTCGAGTGGCAGACCGTTGCTGATAGGTGTTGCGATGTAGCTGGGAAGTAGTTGATGTTGCTGCTGTGTAGACCGCTGGCCGAGTGTCATGAGCTGTCGTTCAACCCTTGCCAGTCACCCTGTAGGCTCACCTAGACCACATCGCCTTTGCCCCAGATGTGACATGGAGCTTGAACCCTTTTTCGCCTCAACCAGATTACTTGGATTTCGTCTGTGTTTGAATTTGAATGTGGCAGATGTGCTGCCCTACACAGGTACAGGGCGGCATTTAGGGAGGTGTTGTCTCAGGCGGTTTGGCTTGTGTGCTAACTTTGTGATGGCTACTCTGGATGCAGATGCAAGAGTGATGGTTGAGGTAGGTTGTGCGTTGCTGCCTCCATGAATGTTGCACCTCGCCTTTGCATCCAGGCCCCATAGACGCATGTCCGCCTTTTCAGCGGTGATTATGAGCAGTTCCCTCTTCTCCTCCTTATCAGTGATCCTCTTGTGGGCATTTTTCTCTCTAGGCGTCGTATCACTGCAGGTTGCTGTACTGTGTTGGATAATTTTGCTTTGGACAGACAGCCGCAGTGGCTGAATTGACAAGAGAAGACGGTGCAAGGTGTGTGGTGTTTGCACCCAGACAGGCAAGGCAAGCCAGTTCTATTTTGTGGGGGCTTTTAATTGCACATCATGGCGAACTGGGGACGTATGCCTAGAGGGATGCCAGGGCCGCAGGGACCTGGTGGACCGATCCCTGGACCCATGGCAAGAGGGGGTGGACCCGGGCCTTTCGGTGGAGGGGGTGGAATGCGGCCTACTCCTCATGGCTGGAATCAGCAGCCTTTCGGTGGCCCTCAACAGGGGCCTCCACCACCAGCAGTAATGGAGCATAAGATTGCTACAATGCAATCGGAGATTCAAAGGCTTCTGACAGAGAATCAGCGGTTGATGGCAACTCTGGTTGGTCTGCGGCAGGAGCTCGCAGCAGCTCAGGGGGATGGGCAACGCATGCAGCAGGCATTGGCCCAGCAGGCAGAGAAAGAAGCAACCCTTCGCAACCTAATGGAGCAGAACAGTCGAATGCATGAGGAGCTGCGAGCTGTGGAGCCCTTGAAACAAGAACTTCATGGTTCCCGTGCAGAGCTGCAAAGTGCTCACTTGCGGAACAAAGAACTGGAGCAGTCAAGAACGACCTTGAATCAGCAGCTGCAAACAGCGACATCAGACCTCCAAAAGGCCCGGCAAGAGCTGGAGAGGATTCCGGCCTTGAGACAGGAGGCACAGCTTGTTCCAAACTTGCGACAGGACATCCAGCATCTTCAACAGGAGCTACAGAAGGTCAGGAGTGCTCTAGAGTATGAACAGAAAGTTAATGCAGAGCAGAGGTCAAAAAATCAGGCATTGGAGACCAATCTTATCTCAATGGCAAGGGAGAATGAGAAGTGGCGTGCAGAGCGCACAAATGCTGAAAGGGCAGGAAACTCTGGGTATGCGCCAGGGGGAGGTGGCTTGCTGTCCAGCCGATACTCTAGCTCCTCTGCGCATTATTCAGGAATTTCGTCCTCCACGTTAGTGCAGCCACCACCATATATGGATGGGGGATATTTAGGTGTGGGAGCAGGAGGGGGCCCAACCGGGATCACTGAGAATGGGGTGGCAAAATATGGGGCCCAGCATCCAGCCCCTCCTGCTGGCCCCACTTCTGCCCCGTGGTCGTCATATGGAGGCCCTGCAAAGCGACCTATGTGAGAGAGAGAGAGAGAGAGAGAGAGAGAGAGAGAGAGAGAGAGAGAGAGAGAGAGAGAGAGAGAGAGAGAGAGAGAGAGAGAGAGAGATGGTAGTCCTGGGGCTAGTATGAGGATGTAGAACGAAGTTACTCCTTACCACAGTGACCGTGCTGTCCCTGACCCCAGTTTCATAATTTTTGCATATGAGTCAAACATGATCATCGAGTTTTGGTCCCGAGCAGCTCAGATGTGTACATACTTTTTCAGAAGGGTCAGAAAAATTAATGGGTGAAATTTTCTGCTCATCCTGCCAGGGATGCGTTGAGAAAATTTTGCACTGATACTGGATAATGGTACGTCAGTGTTTGTGAGATGCACTCTGTCTTTGTCGATGTGCGTTTATCTGTCTGTTGGTCATAGGGTAATGGTAAAATTGGTCAGTCATTTCAGGTCCTGGAGCAGTGGTCAAGAGTAGCTACTGTCCTCACTATTTGATCTGCAGAGTCATTACAGTCGATGTCTAGAAGTAGTCCATCAGGAGGGATATCTTTTCTGTCCTCAGACTACATTTTTGCAACCATCAGTTCCTTGGCAAGGTTACATGTTTTCGGCAAACAGGTGTTCATTTACACAGTCCTTTAAGCGGTGCTAGGGACTTCTGTTTTCACGTTTTTGAAAGGTCACCTGGTCTATCCCTGGATTTGACCCGTTTGTACGGTCCTACTCGTCTACATCATGTTTTCCAGAGCTGAGGGGTCTGCAGGCGATGGGGTTTGGTGTTTGAGCATTTGGGGGGCCAGTAGCACTCAATTTCTCTTTTGTTGGGGAGAAGAGCTGGTGGTGATTGGAAGCGACCTCGGGCTGGAGGAAGGATTGCAAAAGGCAAACAGAATAAGGGTTATGTAAGTGGTCAGCAGGTCAGAAACCCACAAATTCTGTGACTCTAGGTTCAGGCATAACATAAGACTCAGTTCCCACGTCAGGTTGCATGAGGCTGGTGTGAGCATCGGAGGCTAGGTACATGCAGTGTTAGAGAAACAGTGAACGTGGTTCCCCTTCCTGTTTTTGCTGGTGAAAACTGTTGCAGCACAGAGGTTAAGTGCTTCTGCTGCTGTCATTACATCTTGGAAGTTTGAATCATCCGCAAAGTGGGGATGTTTTACCTGTGAAACAAAAAACAAAGAAAAAGAGAAAAAAAGGAAAAAAGGAGGTTATATGTGTGAACTTGTGAAGGTTAGTCTGCCAAGCTCTTTAGGTCCCTCGTATGGTTCGCCTGATTATTATGCAATTTGAAGTTTTAACTAAATCAGTGTTGAGCCTATGGAAATGTATTGTAATATGTCTACTGCACGTCGATATCTGTGAAACTCTGAGGTGGTAGGAGAGACATGGCTCTTTGGGGACCTCCTAGTCAGGGAAGTAGCCACATGTGTAGGGCTCATGGTGCGTGGTTTGCATTGCACATACTTCAGATTAGTCTCAGGAACTTTTGCATATGAGATTCTCGCAATCCGGATGCACGTGCAGACTGTTTCAAGTTAGTCTAAGGGCTGGAAGGTGGGTTGTGCTTCGGGTCTGGGGGAGGTGGCTAAGTGGAGTTTTCTTTTTTAATTGCAGCGTTCGGCCAGTTAGTTAGAGTTCTGCAGGTATGTGTGAAACGACAAGCTCAGAAAAAAAAACAAAAAACGAAAAAAGGGAGGTTATGTGTGAAGGTTAGTTTGCCATGCTCTTTAGATCCCTGGTATGGTTTCCCAATTGTAGTATTGTGCAATTTTAACTAAATCAGTATTTAGTCTATTAACATATGTATTGTAGTATGTGTGCTGTGTGCCGATAGCTCTGAAACTCTGAGGTGGTAGGAGAGAGAGGGTTCTTTGAGGTCCTTCGTATCAGGAAAGTAGCCACACGGCATAGCAATCATGGTCTGTGGTTGGCGGTGCGCATACTTCAGGTCAGTCTCAGGAGTTTTTTGGATATGAGATTCTGGCAATCAGGATGCACGTACAGACAGTGTCCAGTAGTCTCAAGGGTTGAAACGTGGGTGGTGCTTTGGTTCTGAGGGAGATGGCTTTCAGTGTAGTTTTCTTTTGTAACTGCAGCATTTCGTAAGAGTTCTGCAGATGTTCGGCCTGTTTGAATGCAATGCGGGCGTTCACTGTGTTTTCACGGGATGGTATTGCGGTAGTGTGCTGTTTTTTTTTCTTTTCCTTTTGCGTGGTCCTATGCACATGTCTTTGCCCAGCCATAGGTTGTCATCGCTACCTGTAGGGTATCCTTGATTTAGGATGATTTGACTTGCAATTATATATCATGCAGGCCTGTGCTCCTATGTCCTGGCAGTCTCTGGTTTGCTGCTCTACTCGTTATGCGTTCCATGCTGTCGCAGACCTGCCGTTTAGCAAAAGGAGTCGAAAGGACACTTGAAAAAGGCATGGTCAGGGGGAGGAGAAAGAAGCGAAATGATTTTTTTTTGCTGCATTTCCTCCTCACCCTTTTGACATTTCTCTTGCTGCAGTAGGAGGGAGGAGAAATAAGTGAAAGGATTTGTTTCGACCCAAATAGTTGCGAAATGTTAGAACCAGATTGTTGTCATGTGTGTTGGCGTCTGAGATAAGGTGCGTGAGGAGGGAGGGAAGGAGGGCTGGGCTGGGCTGAGAAGCAGGACAAAGAGAGATAAGAAACACCAGTGGCAGTGGTTGAAGAATTAGTAAGGAGAAGAAGAAAATGTAATACGCCCAAGGGAAGATTAGCAGCAACGCAGGAGGAAGGGGAGGAGGAAACCAGCAGGAAGAAGAGCAGCAGGAGCAGCAGTAGAATGAGAGGGGAAGGGAGGAGGGTGAGGAGTCTGACAGCAGGTTCTGTATGTCGGAGCCCAATATGACCAGTTTGACGTGGAGGAGTGGAACAAGCAGGAGCAGCAGGAACAGTGGCAGTGGTTGAACAATTAGTAAGGAGAAGAAGAAAAGATAATAACCCAAGGGCAGATTAGCTGTAACTGCAGGACAAAGGGGAGGAGAAAACCAGCAGGAAGAAGAGCAGCAGGGGCAGCAGTAGAACGAGGGGGGAAAGGAGGAGGGTGAGGAGTCTGACGGCAGGTTCTGTATGTCGCAGCCCAGTAGGGCCAGTTTGACTTGGAGGAGTGGAACGAGCAGGAGCAGCAGGAACAATAGTAGGAAGGGGGAGGGACTGAGGGGGAAGCAGGGGATGAGATGAGAAGAGGGATGCATGGAGCAGCAGCAGCAGGAGGAGGAGGACTGGCTTGTTTGTACTCACTGGATCAAGAGGACCAGGGGGAAGAGGGAGGAGAAGCAGCAGCAGGAGTAGCAGAGGCAGAAGCAGTAGCAAAGAAGGAAGAAGAGAAGTGAAGGATGAGGAGCTGGAGGAGGGGGAGGAGTAAGGTGATGAAGATGGTGAGAGCAGAACGTGTGGGAAGGGCCAGTTATACACGCACATGGAATCTTGCCAGCACGTTACTTTTAGCGCATGTTGGCGCATGTTGTACATGACTGGACACCCGCATGGGAGGACAATCCTCCATAGTGCAGGGGCACATGTCAGTGTCCTCATTTTTATGTGAGCTTTAGGGTGAATGTAGACTGAGTACCCTGCTTTAGGGTGAATGTGGACTTAGTACCCTGCTTCAGGGTGAATGTAGACCTAGTACCCTGCTTTAGGGTGAATATAGACTTAGTACCCTGCTATTTATCAATGGTGCTAGGTTTGCCAGTTGAAGTCATAGGAGCTGTTTGCCGTTACTTTGTGATGCATTTCTCACCCCCTCCCCTCCCTCCCTGCCTCCCTCTCTCTCTCTCCCACTCTTTCTGTCTGTCCCCACCTTCCCCCGTCCCCTTTTTGCTCCCACACATATTTGATGATATCCTTCTTACATGTTGGCGTGGTATTTGTTTTCCCAGTCACAAGCTCCCTAGTACGAGTGTTGAATGTGGTCCCAGTCACAGGTTCCTAGTCACAGTCCAAACTGGGATGCTGTTGCTGCTGAAGGATGGTGCAACCTCCCAGCAACATGATGAGGATAGGAGATTTATGTTGGAAGCTTGCCATCCCAATGACCAAGTTTGGATCCACGAGTGAACCGTTGCCTCTTCGTTTTGCTGACCCCAGTCTGAATCCTGATCCTAGGAAAGGAATCCGCAAAAGGAATCCAAAGGCTACTTTGTCCTCTCCTTCATCCAAATGAAGAAAAATACATCACATAGAAGTCCAACTACAGACAGCAACTATCTCAAGTAGCGATGAGTCAGAGGGTTTTCATGCCATAGGTGTACTTATCCCTTTGCTGTACCTATGCACCTATGGAGATTTGATTTAGCTCAGTGGAGTTGCCAGCCTCCTGGTGTTTGGAGAGAACAGAGATACTGTTAGCGTTCGACACGGTGAGGTGTTTGATTCGTTGTACGTTTGACGATGTTAGCCTTCTGATTTGTGTTACCCTCAGGCGACCAGGGAGTTCGAAATGTTCACGGTGATTTTCTGAATTGCACTATCCTCACAGTAGGTCAGGCTTTCTTTTTCCTGCTTATAGTGTGCCTGCTATCCCAATCCAAGGCAGGTGCATGTTCTCACTTCCCTTTTTGGCTTTCGTTTGCTGCTGTGGCATTGCGTTTTACCCTTGTGTATTACTCCTCATGGCTGTCTGTCAAAGGGGCAGGTCTGAGTGTTCTAGGAGTGGCAAGTGGATTTGCACAGGCTGTAGTACTGGTCTTTGCTGTTGGTTGCAGGAAGGTCCTTCTACATCAAAGGGGCAGGTTAGAGTTTTTCTAGGAAAGTTACTGATAAGTGGACTTGCATGGGCTGTAGTACCAGTCTTTGCTGTCGGTTGCATGCAGAAGATGAGTTCAAACCCTTCTTTGCCCTATTGTGTCACCGTAAGTGCCCTGTTGGAATGCCTACCACATTATTATTAGGCCAGCAGACGAGCGTTCAATCTCCCATAGACTCCTTGTGATCAGGCGAAAAAAGGAAGAATATAAATGATGCTGTTGTTCTGCGTTGCTTAAATGCCTGTGCAATAGCATGCAGCTCCAGCTAGTGAGATTGTTGCACAGCCCTGTCCAAATGTGGCCCCTCTCTTGATCAGATGCTAGAGAGGGGCTGTGATTATGAAGCAATTGCTGATAAAAGTACGTGTCACACACAAAGGTAGGCTATGACTGGTCTTGCATTGTAGCTACTCTCCTTCGTTCAGGCGATGGCTCTATGTTCACAAGGTTTGAGACACACTGCTGAACTCGTAGATAGAGCATGCAGGTCTAAAGTCTGTTGACCCACACTGTTTCTTTTTTTTGGCGATCTGATGAACCACGGATCAGATATTAAACTGATAGGAACATATACGACACTTGATCTTAGCCAACACGTATGACACAATGCGATGTTTTTATGGCATATCGTGGATAGAGCATAAACATTTTGACGCACATGTTATTTCCCCTTCAACTCATATTAAATGTGCTTAAAATTTCCGGACTTCCTTTTTTCTGACGCCTTGTGTATGCTGGTTCAGAATCTTCGAAATTGCTGCATGCTATTGAGATAGACCATAGTGTAGTCAAAGCAGTTGTCGAAGGCGTTGTTCTTATCCTGCATGAAGGCTGCAGGTGCAGTGGCGAACCCGAAAGCTTCACTCTGTGATATCCATACTTAGTTCATGAAATGCCATTTTGTAACTTGTATTGTTGTTGTTTAGAGTTGTTGTAGGCAGAGCATGGAGGTCTTGTATGTGATGCTGCTTATGCATGCTCGTTTAGAATTTTCTGAATGATCACATGCTGGTTGCATTCTTAGATAAGTAGAGAAGTCGAGGTACAATAGAGAATTGAAGGTGCTCGTTGAAGACGTCCTTCAGAGCACTCTTGATGGGTGCAGGTGAATCCATGACAGCCGAAAAGCATCACGGTGAACTCACCGTGTTGATTCATTGTTGCAATGTTGTTGTACTGTGTCATGTTAGATTAGATCGCAGTGTTCTGGAAACTGGCTTTTGTGTTAAGATATTCAGGGAAGTACCTGTGCAACTTTGCGGCTGGTTGAGGTGTGATGTTCGTGATCGTAATCTGGTCCAATGAGCAACCGGCTTTTAAACCACCACTACCTCCAAGCCTTCGTTTGCCAACCCCGATTTTCACTGCGCGCCGAGCTTTGCCGAGCCTGGGCCCTGATTGTTTTTTTTTTCCTGGGACTCGTGCGCATGACAAAACAAAACAGAAACGTTGCATTGAAAAACGGAGAAGCGGGGCGTTGCAGCAGCGCGGTGAATCAATGCAGGGAAAAAAAAAACCAACAATGTGGATGTGCAAGCAGCTAGATTCACGCACATAGTACTTGTGTGAGTGTGCCCTCAGTGAGGGCGTTATAGTGGCATGGCCAGGTAGAGGAACAAACAAAAAAAGAAAAAAAAAATGAAACTCCCCTAAGTAGAGGATAGCGGGTTGATGCATTGTCTTGACTCAGCTACCCACTATCTGCGCCCTGCCTCACTGGGAGGCATCCCATAAAATAAAAGGGGAAAAAAAAAAACAACGAAAATAGTGAAGCTGTAACTACCTTGGATACTGGTGGTGTACGTTTTCCCAAGTTTTGGTGTGAGCACAAAGACCTTCATGGCCCCGACAGTTCAGAGGAAAGAAAAAAAAAAGAAAAAAAAATGAAACTTCCCGAACTGCAGGATAGTGGGATGATATATTGTCTTGAGTAGTGGTGTGAGTCTGCCCTCATGTGTTCCTGTGTCAGTTACACGCTATCTGCAGCCTGCCTCACTGCCAGGGCAATCCCACTA